GGAGGAGGAGGGGAGGGATTTCAGGTCGCTTTTTGTCAGAAATTTGGTATTCGAAAACTGCGATGTAAAGGTCGTGGACAAATAACACTGACATGTTGATATAATTTCGATAACAAAGTTCAGTCCGTGAATTGCAAATCATGAGGCGTTTTGATTGGTTAAACTACTACTGAGTGGTCTATTTTTCATACTAATAGTCCTTGGAAGATGCCTTTTAAAATAGTAACAACAATATTTATATTTAAGACCATTAAATTATATATATATGTTATAGTTTTCGTAGCCTTTTAACTGTTAAATAGAGTTCTTAATAGTTGAATTTTGTCCATATGCTCGCAAAAGTACTCACGTTTACAGACTACCCCGGCGTATCCATGGGAGCAACTACTGACTACACTCCAGTCACTGTGTTGACACTTGTCCAGCGAGTTCTCATTGCCTTCGCACTTCACCTTACTCAGCCATATATGGCCTGTACTCTCCGAAGGCTCGGACATAACTTTTTCCACTCCTAGGAAGCCAGCTTGACGACAGACCACGTGTGCGTCGTGAAGATCCCATTCGTCAAAACAGATGGAGCCCCACTTGTTGTGGTAATGGACTTCTACTCTTCCACCATGTGTGTCATTGGTATGTCCGGTAAGACGAATTGGGGCAGTGGTACCCCCCGCTACAAATCCAAATACAAGTTAAAATCACTTAGCATACAGTAATGGCGTAAAGAGGCTTTGCACTATCATGTGATGGCATCCATGACAGGAGGCACGACAATATCCTTTTTAACACGGGGAACTAAATTCACACTATAAGTACACCTATTTCAAAAAGTGGTCAAAGATCTGAAATGGAAGATGATCGAACTGAGACTGACTAAACGCTTTTATTTTTTATGGCTAAATACGAAAAATCACATTCCTAACTAAAATGTTATGTTCATATTCGAATGCCAAAATGAGGGGGGAGGTTGTTCGGCTTTGAATGTATCACAATTTGCAGCGTGCTACTCAGTTTCATATTTTAGATTTCCGACCGACGACGTTTTTTGATATAGGTGTATACTGCCTCCTGTTAGAATTACAATTTAAATAATCACTAATTTTTTAATGGCTATACGATGTTATACGTACATATATCACAGACTGCAGTAGCATCTTTAGAGTGATCACAGTTATGATTCGACCATCCATTATGACCGCACATATTCAGGTTACTCTCATTTCCAATACATTTAATATCATCCAACCAGATCTGTCCTTTACCGGATCCAAATGAAGGGAACACATTCATAGCCCCTGCATAACCGAGTTGCCTACACACTACTTGAGCGTCATTCTTGTCCCATCCGTCGTTGCAGACAGTTCCCCAGTATCCCACACGGAACACCTCTACACGTCCTTGATATGAAGACTTGCTGCCAACCAAACGTACGTCGTAGTTTTTGTCGACGTGAGAAGCTAGGCATGATAGAAAGAAAATTTTATCACTTATAAACGTGATTTGCCCAGCACAGAGCCGTGTGAGTTAGGGTGAGCTACGGTGTACGTGGCGGGTGAGGTCGTTGATTTTACTTGACCCGTAACACAGGAAAAAAACCCGAATTCCTAAATTGGGAATTTGTTGGGAATTTCCTTGAATTCCCAACGAATTCCCATCCAATTCCCAGAGAGAACAAAATTGGGAACATGGCACTGATTCCCAATGTAAGTTTGTTGGGAATTTTGTTTTTCTATTGGGTATTAGAAGGAAATTCCCAACAATAAATTCCAACGTTGGTGTTCGAATTGGGAATTCAAGGAAATTCCCAGCAATTCCCAATTTTTTCCTCTGTGAGATAACACAGAGTAATTGAGTTGATATTGCAGTGCATCGTGGGACTGTTTTCGGCGACGAAATTACCAGCTGATCTGAAAAAGCGGTGTAGAAATGACGTCACTGCAAAACTGAGGTGCCAGGAATATTGCAAAAATTGACCAGCGAAAAATAAAAACGTGTGCCTTTGCACTAATGAAAATATGAAACTTATTTATTATTGCCTCACTGTTATCAAAAGTTTGATGGCACATTTTTTTATTTGGTGGCCTGGAAATCATAATTTTAAGAGGAAAAGTGACATCTCAGTTTTGCAAACTTTCTAGATCCTGATTGGCTAACATTTTTGGTCAGATCAGCTGGAAACGCCATTCAGTATTTTCCCTCCACCTGAGAATGCTAATAGGACAGGTTACTTACGAATAGGAGGATAGCACTGAGGAGTGAAGGAGATGTCATCGATGGCGATATCGCTCAAGTATGACTGACCACGTGTTGCCTCGATCACCACCTGACAAAAACATGATTCAAAAATTAAAATTTACGAAGGGACAGGAAGACCATCTCTAACCGTACACCAGACAAGGTTCCAAGGGTGGGACTCTCAACAGAGGTTTGCTTAATTCATAAAATATTGGTTAATAGTTAACCTTCAACACTGTGCCAGTAAACAGTCATCATCAGCCGAAATATCTGGTGTACGTTTGATAAAGATTCTTAACAAATAGAAATTACCAATTGGGCTCGTATTTTATTGTCCGCGTCCTCTTAATAGAGATGTCTCTGAATAAAGGTTCGTTTTACAGTAAATATGGGGAGAAAATATAGGGGCTCGAGCTAGTCCGCTTAGTAAAGGAGTCCGCTTAATAAAGGGTGTCCGCTTAATAAAGGGTGTCCGCTGAATAAAGGGTGTCCGCTTAATAAAGGGTTTCCGCTTAATAAGGGGTGTCCGCTTAATAAAGGGTGTCCGCTTAAGTAACGCTTTCCACTAATTATCAGAGGCACCACTGTAAGACGAAGGCAAAAACTAAAAGCAAAACGAACACTGCAGAAATGCCGATTAAGTAAACGATTCTATTACACATTACCTCAGCTATCGACCAATTGGTTGCTATGGGAACGTCAGCAAGGATCCACTTGTTATCTTGACTACCAAACTTCTGCCAAATTGTTACGGTTTCGCGAGTGATAGGGTTTCGCAGCATTACTTTTAGAGTCCCGACGACATTATACCTAATGGACCACATATGATAAAAGAAGCGAATCTGAAACGAGAAGGGCAAAGTCCATCGTTAGATATAGAACAGACAATTTTCGAATTCGTACTATGCTCCTATGTTCCTCGATTATAGACTCATTTACTCACCTTTTTACCTATTTACCTTCACTGGAACATATGAATATTCTACACACTACTGGTACAACATTGCTGTGTACGTTCCTTGATTACAGACTCATTTACTCAGGGTGAGCC